TGTGCAACAACAATGGTTACAGCACTTCTACACCTGTCATCCACAATCTGTAGATTTAAAAAACGAGTGATGTGATGTACTGCTGTAGCCTTCGTTCCATATTCCATGATTTTTACAACATTATTCCTAAAATCTAACAAACAAGCAAGCTGTCAATAGACACTGCGCCGTGTCCCCTGTGAAGGTTACATTTTACAACACACGACACAACGGAGGGATTCTCNAAATCTAACAAACAAGCAAGCTGTCAATAGACACTGCGCCGTGTCCCCTGTGAAGGTTACATTTTACAACACACGACACAACGGAGGGATTCTCTCCGATATTTTGTCGTTGACCCAGTAGAGAACTACAGGGGATGTATTGTAGAATGCAGGTTACCTATATTCTAGACTACAGATGTTTTGTACTTAGCACGAGCTGGCATCACTGATATAAATCATCAGTGTAAAGACTTCAAAAGACTCGAAATAAGTCCAGTACCCAGCCGGTTTTCCTCCACTCACTGAAAAGGCTCTACCACATCCCGCTCGACCGTGTTTTTTTGTTTGTTTGTTTGTTTGTTTTTCTCCCATCATTGGACTCTGTCGTCTGCCCCTCTGGCCCCTATCCTCCACTTCTACTAGCTAGACGACCCAACCGGGGTCACATAGGAGGGGGGGGTTGGACCCCCTCCTGCGGTTCATGCCTGAGGTATTTTTATCGCGAGAAGGGCACAGCAATCCCTTCCCTCGCGACTTACGAAGTCGATTATGGTTTACCAACAAACGAGCTTTGCAGCGCGTCGCTTTCACCCTAGTCCAGGATGTATATAGTGAGAAAAAAACTCTCTCTGCCGGGACTCGAACCCATGACCCGGCCCTTAGCAGGCTGCGAAGCTACCCACTAGACCACCGAGGCGACCGTGGGTATACCCTCGAATGGGTACAGTATACTAGTCTTTCTGTGCGTGTATTTAGTTAACGAGATCATAGAACAGAGTTACTTGTAGATGGGCCCTTTTTACGTTGCTCAAACTTCAACCGACGGGTTTTGAACCCTGTACACCAGCAGTCGCTGTTCGATAATCTCTCCCCCTTTATACGATGGACCAGCTACGCATGAATGACCTTGTCAGACCACAAATATTGGTACCCTGTGCGTGGAACAGCATCCTGTGGGAGGAATCTCACCCTGGGACTGCTGCTGACGGCTCCCGACATCTTGTTACCATTACGGGCGGGGGATTGCGGGGGAGTCGGACCCCCGGCCATGCTTGAAAGCCAGGCGTGCGAGGCGTCCGATGCGTGCAACAGAGAGGAAGAGCGGACGCGAAAAGCAGCACGAAGACCAGAGGGACAGACGAAATACGAATGGTACCTGCTCTGCTGCTGTAGTACCCGCTCGGGAGTTGGTTCCGCCGCATCTGGCGAACCAAGCAATGTTGCCTTTCGGCGCAAGTGCTGAGCGTCGCTTGGTTGTACCGCATGTCCACCTGCGTTACAGCAGCGTTGCAGCCCCCGCGATTCCCACTCTACAGGGGGGTGTCTACCACTGTTGCCATTCTGAGCTCCCCGTCCTTCTGTGTGGGGTGGCTCTGGATATCCCGAAATGCGCATTTCCACCAAAAAGGCAGCACTTGCAGGCGCAGCGGCCGTCTTCTTGCATCACTCACAATGTGTGGGGTACACATCATTCATGCGGCCGTTGCACCCCCGCCATTGTAGCGCAATCACTAGGGCAATGCCCTACCGACGCAGCGACCGAAATCATGTGCTGAAGCTTGCTGCTGGAGGAGGCCCGCCCCGTGCTGTCGGAGAGTCGACTCCTTTGTCTCGGGCGCGAGACGTGTTGTTTGAGCCGGCCTTTCGAAGTTTACTCCCGCCAATGGCCGCGGCAGGCGCGCTGCTCGGCCCCAACCTCGACAACTACCACAGCGCCTTCGGAGTGTTGGCGTACAAGCACCCCATCGAGCTGAACGTTGCCGGACGCTTGATCGTTACTACGGACTGGTGGTGAGAGACGTAATTTTTGACCAGCATCACAACGTGTACAGTAGATGCATCTCAGCTGCGCTGCTTTTGTATTGGCATCTATGGCGCTGGTCTCTTGGGGTGCGCTATGCAAGGGCGTAGATATATACTTCTAAGTATGTTGGCAGAGGAGATATGTATGACAGGTCAGGGTGCTGTGACCCTAATCCAGCTTGAACATGAACACAAGCCTGTACCCACTGTTCCCGAGTACATGCACGAGCTGGGGACTGCCATTCAGCGCTTTGGCAGGCATCCAATAATGTAGTCGACGAAAATCCTTACCCTGTAACAATTTGGTTCACAGCTGTTCCTGTGCACGCTTTGTGGGCGTTCTACTGCATGTTGCCGTGCGTTTCATGGTAGAAAAGCAAACCCAGCTGAGCAGTTACCACCACCGTCTAGCCTTGTACTGGGTTCGGCCTTGCTGTGCTTTGCACCCGCGGCCCCGTTAGTTTCGTCATCTTCGTTCTCTGCTGCCGTGCTGCTATTTCAACGTAGGGTGCCGCCTCTGTTCGCCGTTGCTGGAGCTGGGATCGGGGCGCTCTATATACTTTTGGACGCGGTAAGCGCGACAATCGCGCGTATCTTTCCCTTGAAACCCCCCGAAACATGTTGGGCCATTTTCGCGCTCTCACTTCCACCCACAGTTTGGATAAGGATGTTCCACTCTTCCAAAATGCGCACGCAGCATCCATCGCCATGGCGCCCCTCTTTTTGCCAGTTTTCAGTTCGATCTCCAACTGCAATTTCAAAGCTGTTTTTCGACCCCGATATATGAGCGGAGTAGATTCCGGCAATACTTTCCAGACTTCTCGGAAGCAGCTTCGAGCCTGTAACCATGTCCTTGTTGTTGGTGGTGGTGGTGGTGGTGGGCTGGTGGTCTTTGATTGTCGTTTTGTTTCAAGATACTAGGAATTGAGGCACCACGCGCGTCCAGTTATTTAGGCACACCCGATCAAAGGATTCCATTCCCTCAAGCTCAAGCAAGCGTAGCAAAGACCACCTGACACACAGAGCGATTTTTTTTACTTGCTGCAGGCAGTATACTTAGCTCTTCTTCGCTGTCTCTTCTTGTGGCCAATACAATCAAATATTTGCTCAAATACATACATATGCAAACACAGTTATGAAGTTTCCACTGCTGTGTTCGATGTGCTTTATGTGTGTGACTATTCGCGCACTGGCCTGTCGCTTGCGTGTGTTCTCTCGATTGCTATTTTCGTCCATGCTTCTCTCGCAGGCCTTGGAGACTCCGCAGGCGCAGCGGGAGCCGGTGTGGCGAGACGTTCTCCTGTCCATTTCTTTGTTCAGCTTCCAGGTAAGGCAGCAATACACGTGTCAACAACGACACGTCTCTTTTGTACGTTGGCGCAGATGCAAGTTTTTACCCAGCAAGGTGTTCACGTCATTCTGCTTGTGAGCGAACTGAGCAATATCTACGGCACGGACCGCCGATATACGTCTCACGGACATGGTCATGTTTCTTGTCGGTATTTTTAGCTGAATTTGGGCAGTGCATATGTTTGCTCACGCCACGTGCAAAAACAGGTTTTAGTTCAACCCCCTGCTAAAAGGGATCTGAGGGGGGCGGGTGCTAGTTGGTGGCACATGCCTACAGCTATGTACCCTCGGACTCAATGGCAGCTAGTTTGCACTTTACTTGTCAACAAATCACTTGACCACGCAATTCGAGGCGATATTCCTGCTTCCAAAGGGGCCGACAATATTTGCGACCGGTTCGGTGACCTTTTTCGGCATCTTCGGACAATGCCTCGGAGGTGTCTCGGAAGAGAAACGGTTGGTCAATGCTTCGACTTTTCTTCTCTGGGCCTGGATTTAGGCTGAAACGCATCAATAACCTCTGTCCCTGTCTCCTCTATTGCGCATTTCCCACTCGTACCACTCCCCGTCCAGTACTACCTGAGCGGACTGTTGACAGCCGTGGGGTGTCCGTACTGGGTGTTGGTGGGGTTGTTGGCGGTCATCGCCGAGCGTGTTTTTGATGTCTTCGACGCCACACGAGCGGGGCTGTGGGTCTCCCTGGCTACGGCGACGCTGGGTCCGTTAATCGAGGTTTGTGTCGCTGAACCAAACGGCTTGGAGTTGTGTCACAGGGAAAAAGTACGGTGCTACCGACACGGAATGCTAAAATGGTGTAACCATTCGCAGGTGACGATCTGGCGGTGTACGGTGTACTTCCACGTCACGTAGCTTTGGGGCAGCCATACCTGTATACTACTAGTCCGTCGGCGATAGGTTTGCGTTTGGCAGGCGGTCGTTTATTCGACTTTTCGCTCTCTCAAGGGTACGTACGCCTTCGCTACAGTATCTAAAGGGAAATTGTCCACCCTATCATTTTCAGCTTGTTCCGAAAATACACAGGCCAATTCCATGTAATCATGTTCATACTGTCTGTGAAGGTGGTAGTATTATACCACAACGACAATACCACAAACAACTATGTGTGCTCCTATTTTATTTTTTCTTACAATATGACAACGACTCCATGTCTTCCACAGACGTTCACGATATATTCGAAAGTTGTACCCTATAGCCGTCTACTAGTTCTTTTCCCTAGATGCGGGTTCTTGCGTAGTGGGTACCTTGTCTCTCTCGCCTCGTCACACCGGACGGGGTTCACTCTTGCTCTCTCACCCCCCTCGCCCCCCCCCGTCCCACACACATACACACTCCCCCATCCTTAAAATAGATTTTCCTGGTGAACGCAACGGATCTGTACGTGTACAACGGAGCCGACTTTTTCGGGGTGGACAGCTGGATTCCGGTGAGAGAAAAGATAGGGCGATCGGGATTGAGTCGATTCACGCACCGCCGTGATGATCGATTACGTTTATACTGTAGGAGAGCATCAAGGTCGATCAACCTGGTATTAAGGACAACAACCAGGCGGCGCATGATCAGTTGAAGCGGGGGTGATCATGGTAGGGCACGCCTGTTCGAACGCAGATCGTAGTCGTGATGCTGGCTTGTGGATCGTTGCCGCAATCGTGACGATCGGCCTTGTTGGTGGTTGTGAAGGCAACGACGCGTATGTCCGGGTGGACAATCAACGAAAGGGCGCTCTCCACCAAACGTCCACCGACACGATGGGTAGTTTCAAGCCGTTGTTCGCCGGTGGTGCCATTGTTGGCACCTCTCTGAGTCGTGCGACCTGCCATGTTATTGTTGCTGTCGCCTCACAACATGCCTCGAATCCCATCCCCGCCACCAGCCGAAAAAGTTCTCGTTTGCCGTTGTTTTGTGCGACGCGCCGTGTTGTTGTGATTTTGCTATCGGGGGCTCCGTCGATTCAGATCGTCTACTTCTGCGGGGGTCCCGCCGTGGGAAACTTGGCCAGGACAATATACGCAAAACTCCTCGCGGTGGAAAGAAAGGAGGGGCGCAACCTGAGGTAGCTTGTTCTTAGGGCCAAACCTACTTGAATAAGAAACCGAGTTTATAGACGTTGTCGGGCTGGGCCTTCGGTGTTACCAAAGCGGTTAGGTGGCATGGTTTCCATCCGGCAAAACACAGAGAAACGTTCTTCTTGCATGGCCAGTTTTGTGTTGGTGCGACGCTCCATGTTCCTCCATAGAGCTCGTTCTGCACGCGCTACAATTGTGTCCCAGAGAGAGTACTTCAGTGGCCCGAATCAAGCCCTTTTCTGGCCCGCCCTCCTCTGTGCTTGAAACTTCAAGATTTCGTTTTTGGTTGGCGAAGAGAAACAAAGAATGAACGGTTCGCATGAAGCTGTCGAAACATGGGTAGGTCCTCCCGAATTTGTCTGAAGAGCAAAAAATCGAGAATGGAAGACGGAGATTTGGTGAGAGCGGCATGTTCTTTGCACTTGAAACGAGTCGATGGGAGGACGCCGAAAAACAAGTGGCAGCATTAAGATGCCTAGAAGTCGTGTTATGAACGCGGTCTTGAATGCCGGAAGGTAGACATAGTCGTGGACCCTAAAAAGCGCCGGTACGTGCCAGGCCACTCCATCTGCCCTATTGCGGGTACCCGCCCTTTTCGAACCATACCATGGCATGTGCCAAGAGGTTTCGCCCGCGGTAGTCCGGCCTCCCGCCCTTATTAAGAGGAACCGCAACTGCTAAATATTACGTCATCATTTGATGTTTCGTCATGGCATTCCATGCATTCGGTGTCGCTTCGCGCGACGTAACAAGCAGTCCAATACTTGGAGGAGAGACACGAGATGGGGGAATAACCTCTCCAAGAGGACACACCGCGCAAACAGCATTTCTTTCAATTCTTCGAGCGCGAACGATACATACGTGTACCCACAAGGAGGGACAAACGTAACTGCGACGGGCGTGAAACCGAAAGGAGGTCGGTAGGCAAATCGAAATGTCAACGGCCACATGGTGCACTCCATGCTGACCGTGTTTTCGGTTGAAATCACCACCCACACCCAAAACCCATCCACACCCGCCAGCACCACCTATCAAAATCACGGAACCAACATGTTACGGGGCACACCAGCAACTACGGTGATTAAGGAAAACGTATACAAGAAAAAGTTGTAAAACATGTTTGATATTTCTAACATGTACACCCAGGAGCGATTCCACAGCCAACCACCGCCGTGGGTGACAGTTTTGCCGGGAACACGTTCCGGGCACTCTTGAGCATCGCGTACACTGCGCGCTGTCGATCAACCACAACGATGCTACATCACCAGGCCCTCCGAACATCCGTCGTGGTTCGAACATGGACGGCGTCTTAAATGATTTGACCTAGGAAAAAATAGCCCAAATGTATGCACATTGTTTTACAAAACTTTACAGGGTGTATGTGGTCTGCAGGGTACCTACACAGACGTGCCGGCGATTTTTTTTCCGGGTATTCACCCTTCAAACAGAACGTTACAAGACGAATTCTGTGGCACGTCCGATACCCTACATAGAACTTCTGTGAGATCTGTGGCACTTCCCATACCCTACAGAAGTCTATGAGTTATGTCACGCTTCAAACCCTACAGAAAACGTCGTAAGACATTTGTGAACCTACCCGAAACGTTCTGTGGGTTGTTTGGCACCTTCTCACAAACCGTGTACGACCTTCTCACGAACCCCTATTTGTTCTGTTGAGTTCTGTGGCACTTCCAATACCTACCCGATCGTTCTTCTGAGTTCTGTGACAACTTCCAGTACCCTACAGAAACTTACAGATACAGAACATACCCTTGCACACTTTAGTTGAATCTCCCCCGTCTTCCGCGCACATTCAACATTCACCAACAGCGCACTTCCCTCTCCCCCCCCCCCCCCCCCCCCCCCCCCCCCCCCCCCCCCCCCCCCCCCCCCCCCCCCCCCCCCC